AATATAGTATATATATTCTCCTTAACTTGAAAACTATGCATGAGCTGAAATCCAAGATCTTGATTTCTGATAACATTTCCAGTACAGGAAGGCAGGCTCCTTGAAGAAATCACTCATTTTAGGACTATGGCAGGAAGTATTTGAGATGAGACTGGAACATTTTGTAGTGCAGAAAATAGGGAGTATCCAGAGAAAATTGATGATGATATATCAAAGGACGCAGTCAACTAAAAGAACTCCCAGAGGTAAAGTTAGAATAATTTGAGCAACAAAAATAATATTAGATTATAACCCAGAACATAAGATAGATATCAATGAGACTACTGATATAAAGAGTTGAACAAATTAATAGTTGGAGATATTAGAAAAAATCTATCTTGTCAAGAATTCCAAATAATTTATGTAAATAATTTGCCCTCAATGAGGCGAGGAATAAGTTCCCATTCTTTAATGAGGAGCTGCATATAGTAAATTCCTTCCAAAGAATACAGGATGGGGAAGGAAAAATAAGGATTAATTTTAAGATGGAAAAACCTGAAACTTCCCCAGCCAGATGACAGAGGCTAACCTCAACAGTAGTAAGTCATGTTGATGAAGTATACCATTTATATAATGTGATGGGTATGGGACTTTACCTGACCTTCCTCCCTAAAACCTTTAATCCCAAACTAATCATGAGAAAAATCTTCAGACAAATTGCATTGCATGGTCACCCTACAAAATACCTGAATGGCATTACTCAAAACTATTAAGGTAAAAACAAAACAAACTGGGTATGGTGGCACATGCCTGCAATCTCAGCACTCTGGGAGGCTGAGGTAGGAGAATCACAAGTTTGAGCCCCAGCCTGGGCAACTTAGCAAGACCTTGTCTCAAAAATAAAATATTTTAAAAGGGCTGGAGATGTAGCTCAGTGCAAAGGCCTGGGGTGCAATCTCCAGTATAAAGAAAAAAAAAGGGGAAATCTGAGAAACTTTTTTAGCTAAACTGAATCTAAGGAGCTATGGTAAGTAAAAGTATAGGAAGAGTATATTGTTTTCTCAGTGTTTCTATAAACCTAAAGTGTTCTTCAAAAAATAAAACTTTAAAAAAATAGATAAAACTTATTTAACCAAAAAACAAAAATAGCAGTGTCAACAAGCACTGCCAGAAAGAAAAAAGAAGCAGCAGCAGCAGCACTGCCATCTCTCCTGTCAGTGGGAGGTCAGCTATGTTAGCAGTTCTGTAGAAAGAGTGTGAGAATAGCATTGTAGACAAAGGATCAGCATGACCAAAGTTGCTTTCTCTGAAACAACCCTGCTTTTATTGACTATTACAGAGTTACCACGTCCTTTGGTGTTATGGCTGTCATACCAAATATTTCCAAGCAAAATACCCAGTTTCATTAAGGGCATTTGAGCACATGTACGCACCCATGTGTAGTGTGTGTGTGTGTGTGTGTGTGTGTGTTCATTACTTTTTTAAAGTTAATAGCACTTTCAATTTTTAATTTTAAAGTAATGTCATCTACAGGTACATAATGTCCAACCTAGAACTTTCAAGTGAGAAAGAAAATCTGATAAATCTTCTGCTAAACCAGTGGTTGCAGGTGATAGATCAGCAAACAATGTGAATTTTCCTCAGTTCTGAATTCTGTTAAGATCTGAAGGGTGACAGTATTTTCATAGTATTAAAGTTGTTTTTCAGAGTAACTTTGAAAATAGTGGAATGAATCCTATCACTCCAGTATCCAATTGTTTGTGAGATAATTTTCCACTTGTTAGAAGTGTGGTTACCAACCTTTTCTCTGATCCAAGACATTTAGATCTGCCTCTTCTCCTGCCCAGCCTGTAGGATCAGGCAGCCAGGCACTTTTTTAGGTTTTTCCTTGCACCGCTGCCCAAAGGCACACAAACTCTTATTTACATGTTCTAGCAATCAAAATAATATGTAAACATACTTCTTTTTTACTTAACTGAAGATTTAAAATAGCAAACTCTGGAGAGCAACTGATTGAAAGGCCACACTTAACCTTCCTAAAATGGGCCTTCATTTGTTATTTGTACAGCGTTCACTTGAAAAATGACTATTTGAAGTGTAATTTGGAACACTTAAATGCTGTGAACTTAACAGGAGGACCACTTAACCTAGAGAATAGTTTTTCAAGTATTTTAGAAACTTATGAGGGACTTAACTAATATATTTACTAATTTAATGCTAGTAAATTTGATATACTTATTTAGAAAAATTCATGCTGTATACATTTTATGTTTGGAGAAAATTTTTTTAAATTTTCTTTTACTTTAATGGGTCTAATTTTTTTTTTAGACAGGGTCTTGCTGTGTAGTTCAGGTTGGCCTTGAACTCACTGTATACTCCAGGCCAGCCTTGAGCTCACAGCAATCCTCCTGCCTCAGCCTCCTGAGTGCTGGGATTACAGGTTTGTGCCACCATGCCAGGCAGGGTCTGAAATTCTAGATTAAACAGAAGGTCGTGTATACAGGAACATTGTGATAATTTAAAAATTATTTACACTTGAAAGTTGGAGGGTTTTTTCTGTCTTTTAATAGCCTCAGTAGAATTGTCAACTTTTAAACAAAGGTTTTTATTTTTCTGAAGGAAAAGATTTAGGTTTGGATATCATGATTTAATTTTCACTAAATTGTTCTTTCTTTAATTAACAAATTTAGATCACCCTTAAAAAATCTTTTTAAAAAACTATAAACTATTTCCTATATACAAATATGCATATGGGCTGGGGATTTAGCTCAGTGGTTCTGCTGCCTGCCTCGCAAGCTCAAAGACCTGAGTTCAATCCCTGGTACCAAAAAAGAAAAAAAAAAGTATCCCAAATATGCATATAACATGTAATTTAAAGAATAAAATAAGAACAATCACTCACCCAATATATAAAACATTGTTTATGTTTTTCATGTCTCATAAGTACTTCCCAACTGTATTTCCCTGTATTCTTCCAGAAGTAATGACAATTCTGCATTTTATGTTATTTCCTTTTATTTTATAGTTGTGTCATTTACACAGGTATCTCTAAATAAAAATACATAGATTGTTTAACTTTCTGGTTTTGAAATTCTATAGGAATGAAGTTATTTTATATATGTTCTGTACAATGATTTGCTATTATTTTCAACAATGCATTGAGGTTTGATTCTTTGTTTTACACAAGTACGGTTCATTAGCTGTAAGTGACAGTAGTATTTTTGAATATATTCTACTGCAGTATCTTTATCCATTATCCTATTGATGGCCATTGACTTGTATTTAATTTTACATTTCAAGCAATGATGCTGCGATTATCCTTGTATATGTCTCCTTGGACATGTCTAGGGAAGTTCATACAGTACAGACTTTTTAAACTCGTGTTTGTGTGCATGTGTGTGTGTTATTATCAAGTAGGAGCACAAGAAAATTTTCATTTTTCTCATGTATTTTTAACTAGTTGGGCCAAATTGGCAGTGTACGAAGTAAAATGAACAATTAGTTCTTTTGAGCACTGGAGATTTTATGTAACAATTATCCCTATGTTAAAACTTACTCAGATGAGAAAATGTGTTTGATTGATTTGTTTCTCTTTTTGCTCTGAATGGTATTCAAATGAAAAATTTGTCCATTGAGCCATATGTGTTTTGCGCACCATTTATCTATTATATAATTAATATTTGGATAGAATGCCACAGTTTATGACCACTTTTGATATTCCGTTCCTTTTGAATTTCACAAATACCTAAGGAACTAGGCAAAATCATTATTATTCTCTTTTTCTAGATGCATAGTGATCTGTGAGATTAATAAACTTGTCCAGATTTGAAACTCTATTACCTCTCTGAATATATACCATTAATATTTTATAAAAATACTTTTGGGTATAGTGGAGTAGATCAACATATTATCACTTCTTTGGAAATACTGATTAAAATTTAAATTTATTCCACAGTTCCATCTCTCTTATGCAGAGAAAGAATTGTTGGAGAGAGAGCCAAGAGGGGAAGCCCATCAGGAAGTTCTTAGGCGAGCAGCCAAAGATCTTCCTATCTATACCAGGACCATGTCTGGAGGTGAGCATCAGCACGGAGCACTTTGGAACAGTATCCAAAGAATGTGTTGTGGTGCATGTTAGCATTTATATACCTGAAACTGTCAAACATTCATTTTAAAATACTGTGTTATTTCTCAGATTGCTGTTTAATCCTTCCTGTACAATCCGATAAAACAGAATGGAACCTAAATAACACTGTGGCACAGAGATCTCGACTAAATCGGAGCTGACTTTAATCCTATTCCTCCTACTTAGTTGTGACTCAGTGAAGATGTGAGAGCTGCTGAAATCTTGATTTATATTAGGACTCATTTTAGAAACTTTAATTACAGACTTTCATCTTTGTACTTAAGGTCATGATATCTATCTATAATGAATATAGTTATTAATTTTAAGTGTTTTTTCATAAATTTATAACAGTAACTATATAATTTATGTATACTCATCTTTGAAATTTAAACTATTTTTTACAAAAACAACTAAATTAATGTATCTCTTACTTTGGTCATATTTTCAAGGAATTTTTTTTCCTGGTACAGGGGATCAAACTCAGGACCTTGCACTTGCCAGGCAGGCACAGTGCTACTGAGCTACATTCCCAGTGAGAAATTTTAACATCTAATTAAACAATTGTCTTTAAAACCAATGTACATGAACTATTGATGCTTGCCCACTAAGACTTAACAGAAATGTTGCGCTGTGTGTTGTGTTTAGACCTGTGCTGCTTATTATGGTATCCACTAGCCCACTGAGCTACTGAGCACTTCAAATATGTCTAATCCAAGTTGACAAGTGCTTTAAATGTAATATACACAACTGGTTTCAAAGATTTAGTATGAAAAAAATGCAAAATACCTCATTAATATTTTATATTATTTATATTTGTTGCTAACTTATGTTAGAATCATAATTGAATCTAAGTCTGACACACAATTTTATACTGTTAATTTTCATTGTTCCTCAGTGATCAGATACATCTTGTAAATGCTACTGTGTTGAAATAGCATTTCCAAATTAGTCATCCATAATTATCTTTGATATCTGTATTATAGAAAAAAAAAAGGATGAGGGCTTCCACTGCAAGAACTAAAATTCTTTATTGAAAGTACTTCCTCCAGTACTCACTTGTAATCTTGTATCTTGTAACAGAGACACAAGGTCTTTCCCAATTTAAGCAACTAATAGAGTTTATTCATAAATTTCCAAATTTTGTTTCAACAGTTGTATTCTTACCCAGTTATCCTAGCTGGTTGTATCCTCATCCAATTATGCAGAGGAAATAAACTGATTTATTGAGGGAGACTTTAAGAGAAATAGACATACCTGTAATAGAAATAGCCACATCTGCACATGCCTGAACTGTAACTACTGATAATTGGAAATGCCTTTGAAAAAGTTCTTTATGAGATCCTCTATCCTTGGGAAATCTCTCTAGAGAACTCTGGCTATAGAGAAGTCTTCTTGATTTTTTTCTTTTTTTTTTTTTTTGTATTTGAAGAAAGTTGAGTTTTTTCTTAAACCAAATTTAAATTTAGTATGCTTTTTAGAATTTAAATTTGGGAGAAATGATAAAAACCATTTAATTTTATATTCAATTCCATGTGATATCTAAGTGAAACTTTTTATTCCTAGCAATTCGATATTGTGACAGATGCCAACTCATAAAACCAGATCGCTGCCATCACTGTTCCGTCTGTGATAAGTAAGGGAAATTTTTCTTCTAACGTTTCTACATGCTGGTGGTCTTTTATCTGTATTTCTTTTCTATTTTCCAGATTTTCACCTTTATTGTTTATTCATGCTTCTCAGATTGTTATTAGAAAATATATTTGGTATCAGCAATTATTTTAATACTGTGCAGTTTAGGACCACAATCAATTGTCCCTTTTCCCCCAGATTCATGATGACATGAAGTACATGATTCTTAGTAGTGATGACTTGGCTAGTTCAGTTTAGCAAATTCTTCTTTTGTGAATGTTTTCCATTTTTATAAAGATAATTCATCTGACTTTATGCCAGAGTTGTTCTATATTTAATATACTACACAAACAGTATAGTTTAATGGCTTAAGAAGTGACATTTAAAGTGACTGTTGCACCTAGACATCTGCAAATCTGTTGACATTTTGAACTTTCTTCAGCATAAAACACTTGTATGTTGGTATTTTACATTATTTTTAGAAAATTTATCTATTTGCATTTTAAAGCATGTAAAGTTCTATTAAGTGAGGCATGGTGATACAGTCAGTACATGCCTGCAATCCCAGTTATTCAGGAGACTGAGTCAGGAGGATTGCAAGTTAAAGGCCAGCTTGGACAACATAGTGAGACTGTGTCTCAAAACAAATGAAAATAATAAAGTTTATTATTATACTGTAATTAGAAATGGCTGTAGTGTTTATTTTAGATAATAACTTTTACTATTGTGCAATTGTGAGGTATGAAATTTTGCAGTATTTTATTTACCACACTATTTGAAATAACAGTATTTTATATTTTCATCATATAATTTAATAAAATTAAATTTGGGGGGTTATTGATTTTTGTGTTTTCTTTTGTTTTTAGATGTATTTTGAAAATGGATCATCACTGCCCATGGTGAGTATGGCTGTAGGTTTCTGTCCCTTTATAAATTGTTGTAAATTAAATCACTTCTGTATTTATAAATGACTTTAGTTGACATAGGAAGTGCTTTCAGCTTTAATTTTTACTGAATTAGCTCAAGAGAGCCAGCCAGTAAGTTAACAATATAAAAGTTAATTTTACATGTTTGCTCAAAACAAAGGGTTTTATTTTTATCCATATAAAGAAATACAGATACTAAAATATTTTCCAGAAATGTAGACA